AAATGGGTGGGTGGGGAGGGGTGGAGATGGGTGCTTCATGTAGAGATGTCACTACTGATTTATTTTTTGAGGGATTAACTTTTGGGGTCCGTAGAATGTTAGAGTATCAGAGGGGTGAGATTTCTCATGTGAGGCCGGAATGTCACTTCCTGAGATTAGGAACACTAGAAGAATAGGCTTTGAGAAGGTGGTGAGCACATGTTTTTTGTGTGTGTGTGTGTGAGGAAGATGAGACAACAGAAATATATATATCATCGTTCTAAAGGCACAGAAGTGTGAAATCAAATAGTCAGCAGGGTCATGCTTCCTGTGAAATCTGGAGGAGAGGGTCCCTTCTTGCCTCTCTCCTGGCTTCTAGTGGTTGCTGGCATCCTTGCTGTTCCTTGGCTTGTAGATACATCAATCTCTACCTGCATTGTCACCTGGCCTTCTCCCCGAATGTGTCTGTTTCTGTGTCTCTTTTCCTCTTATAAGGACACAAGTTATTGGATTAAGGGCCCACTCTACTCCACTGTAACTTCATCTTAACTAATTACATCTGTGAAACCCCTGTTTTCAAATAAGGTCACATTCTGAGGTACCGGGAGTTAGAACTTCCCCTTTTATTGGGGAACACAATCCAAACCATAACAGTCTGCCCTTTGGCTCCCCCAAATTTATGTCTTCCCCACATGCAAAGTACATTGACGTGATCCCAACATTCCTCCAATTTTTACCCATTTCAGCATCAGCTCTAAGTCTAAAATTTCATCTAAATCTCATCAACTTAAAAAGGGCCAAATTTCATCATATAAATCCAAATCAGGTATGGGTGAGACTCAGGGTGTGGTCAGGCCTGGGGACAAACTTTCCATCTGTGAACCCTGTGAAACCAGAAAGATCTCTGCTTTCAGAATACAAGCCTGGTGGGACAGGCTTAGGACAGACATTTCCATTCCCAATGAGAGAGAAAGCAAGCAAGCAAGTTCACAACCCAGCAAGGCAAGAGCAGGGCCTGAGAATAATTCTCTGTAGCTCAAGGCTCTGTCCTCTGCCTGCTGGGGTGACAGCCCTGTTCTGTAGCTCATTCTGGATATTCCATTCTCGTTCTCCCAGATAGGTAAGTGGAGAGATTGGAGCCAATGAATGGTTGGGTATCAGGTCTGGAGTTCAGATGTGAGTCATCCTTGTCAAGTAGAGTTAGTAATTGATGCCCGGGGGGCAGGTTGCCAGCAGAGGCAAAGAGTACTGACAGAGATGAGAAGAGGAAGGTCTGCAACATGGGGATGCTAGCCAGAGGCGAGATGGAGGAGGAGCTTATATAAAAGACCAAGAAGGAGGCTGGGAGTGTGGGCACTGTGTGTGTCCCTATGAGTATGTGCATATGTGTGTATACATGTGGTCACTCACAGTCAGGGTGGGCAGCCCTTGGTCTGTCTAGTGTGCTCACTGGACCTCATGGCTCTCCCCTTCTCTAGCTCTGCCTGCTCAGGACCCTGTGTGGCTGCAGGAGGAGAGCATAGAGGAAGAAACTGTAGTTTCTGGCATGCTGTCCACCTGTATACAGGTAAGTAAGAAATCCTTCTTGCTCTTCTTTCTTGCTTTGCCCCATTGTTCTATTCTCATGGCATGGAGCTTTTTGACCCCACAGGGCTGGTCTCCAGGCATCCAGGCATGGGGCCTCTCACAGTGGGTGGAGGACAACCCTGGCAATGACCCCATCCCCTCAGTCAGACCTTCCCCAGGCTGCCATGTTCTGCTGAGCATCAGGAGGGAAAGCAAAGCAAGGATGTGAGCTGTCCTTGTCTCATAACCTTCACGGACTCCTGGAGAAAAAAAAAATTTCTCTCTTGCCTTTCTTTTGCCTGCAACATGCTCAGGTCTACTGGACCCTGGGGCTGGAGAGGAATAGAACTGCAAGGGCTTCCTGGCTAGTTGTCAATAGCTAAGTCCTGTCATGAAGTTGAGGTCCTTTGACAATATGCCTCTGGATGCTATCCCTCAGGGAGGGAAGAGTACAGAGAGAAAAATTCTAGTTTTGAGGCCTAAGCTAAGGGGCAGATTCTGAAGTACGTTAGAGCCCCATCTAAAAACCCTCTACACAGTGTCTCCATTCCAACTTGCCAACACTCCACCATCCTAATGAGTGTTGGCAGAAGTGGCCCCTGACTGAGCCTGGGTGGGTGTGCATTTTAGGAACCAGTCACCTTTGCAGATGTGACTGTGCTCTTCACCCCAGAAGAATGGATGTTTCTAGACTCTGCTCAGAGAAGCCTGTACAGAGATGTGATGCTGGAGAACTACAGGAACCTGGCCTCTGTGGGTAAGGCTGATCTCATCACTTCATCCATACACTCATGCAGCAAGTATGGGTTCCTGAAACTGTGCTGGTTTAGAAACTGAGAGGTGAAAATACAGACAAGCCCTGCTGTCATGGTGCTTATAGTCTAATGGCTTCCCCATGGAATTGAAGATCTATTGGCTGTTTCTGAGCTTCTCAAATACATCCATGAGCTAGGCTCTAGGTTTTGGGGGCCAGAGTGTCCCAGTGTCCTAGGGGGCCCAGTGAGAGTGCTTGTTCCTCAGTGAAAGCTCTGCCCTGCGCATCAGAATTTAGGCAAGCTCATTTCACTACTCCCATCTCCAGGGCCCCTAAAGGATGCATGCCCCACTTTCATGGCAGGCGCAGTCTGCCCACACCAAGCGTCTTTCCCCATGAGCAGGAGATCAACTATGCAAACTCAGTACCTTTTCCTATTTGGAGCAAAGAGAAGAGCTGTGGATCACTGACAGAGGGATCTTCACAGGAGCCCAAACAGGTGAGTGCTAGGCAGATCAGGGGAGCATTAGCTCTGATTGATAAGATGAATGTTAGATTTGGAAAGTGTCAGTAAGGGAAATAGCTTCAGTGCCTTTGACGGAGAAGGCTGTTGGTTGAGCTACCTTTTTTCATTTTTCCTTTTATTTCCTCTTTATCTCTAATATTTTACTCTGGTTTCATAGAACGATTTGTCCTACCTTCTCTTCACATATAGCATTTCCATATGTATATTTCATCCAGTTCCTCTCCACTGTAGGTTGTTAATACTTTCTCTCAACATCAATCACAATCTTCATAGAATCCTTCCTTAGTAAATTATCTACTATTTCTATTCTTTGTTTTTGTGATTATATGGCTCCTTACATAGTCAAATGCCTTAAAGTTTTCCTTTACTCTTTGATACGTTCCTCTTTTTCACCATTTCTTTCCTTATTTAAGATCAGTATTTAACAAAATAATCCTAGCTTGCTTTTTTGGTTACTTTGATCCTACAGTTTCTTTTTTTGAATGCTTAATTCCCACCCTCCACCCCCCTTAATTCATTTCAGAACCTCAACTTCAACCCCAAGATTCAATTCTTAGCCAAGATATTTTTACAGATATTCCATCCATTGGCATAGAAAAGGTAAGTTACACAAAGATGATTCTTGGTCCTCTATAATAGGAAGTCCGGGGTTGCTACTGGTTAGAAAAACAGCACATGAGGCTAGAGAGAGATTTAAGGTAAGGGGTGTTTACCCAGGAGAAAGTAGTTTCTTGGCAAGAGAGTCTGTGAATGTCATTATGAAGTAGGAGAAAACTTGAAATGTAGATCAAGACCCATCTTCACAAAATTCCCATAACTAACCATGTTCATAAGTGGGACACAGACATATTGCATTTAAAAGTTAGTGTAACCTTAAATAATTCAGAAAAAGTCTACATCTAAGAAGCCTTGTGAAAGTAATGAAAATGATAGCTCTTTGTGGCATCATATTCACTTGACTGAACTTAGGGTAGAAATAGTACAGACACATGAAAATGGTCAAGGCTTCAGCTATAGAAATGTCTTAATTCTACACACAATTTATTTGGGGGAGAATGTTGATTGTAATGATATCTTAGGTCTTCACATTTTCCTCAATTGACAGGAACAACCTCTGCATGGAGAAGAACTCTACAAATATAATGAACTTGGGAAAACCTTTAACAGCATCAAACAGCTTTTTCAGTATGAGAGAATTTATGCTGGAGCCAACCCCTATGAATGCCAAAAGAATGGGAAATCCTTCTTCCCTACTACTCACCTAATAGTGCAAGAGAAGATCCATAGTGGAGATAAAACCTATTCATGTAACCAATGTGAAAAATCTTTCAGATACAGCTCTGACCTTATCAGGCATGAAAAGACCCATACCTCAGAGAAGTGCTTTGAATGTCAAGAATGTAGACATGCCTTCAAGTACTCCTCAAATCTGCGGCGCCACATGAGGACTCACACAGGAGAGAAACCCTTTGAATGTAGTCAGTGTGGGAAAACCTTCACAAGGAACTTTAACCTGATTTTGCACCAGAGAAACCACACAGGTGAGAAGCCCTATGAATGTAAGGACTGTGGGAAAGCTTTTAATCAGCCATCCTCTCTGAGGAGCCATGTGAGAACTCACACTGGAGAGAAACCCTTTGAATGCAGTCAGTGTGGGAAAGCCTTCAGGGAACATTCATCGCTGAAGACTCATCTGCGAACTCACACCAGAGAGAAACCATATAAATGTAACCAGTGTGGAAAGCCCTTCCGGACGAGCACCCATCTAAATGTACACAAGAGGATCCACACGGGGGAGAAACTTTATGAGTGTACTACCTGTGGTCAGGTGTTGAGTCGTCTCTCAACCCTCAAGAGTCACATGCGAACCCACACTGGAGAGAAGCCCTACACATGCCAAGAATGTGGGCGAGCCTTTAGTGAGCCCTCATCCCTTAGGAAACATGCGAGGACCCACACTGGCAAGAAGCCATATGCCTGTCAGGAATGCGGGCGAGCCTTTGGTCAGTCTTCACATCTTATCGTACATGTGAGAACACATACTACAGGAAAACCCTATGAATGTAATCAGTGCGAGAAAGCATTCAGGCACAGCTCTTCACTTACTGTGCATAAAAGGATTCATGCCAAGAGAGAAAATGTCAGGAATGGTGGCCTGCCTTAATTGGTGTCTTACTCATTTGGTGGGCCTCTTGCTAATTAACTTCCAATTTGTAAAAACATAAACATTTGGACCTGTAATAATCTCTCATAGTACGTATTTAACTATATTACATGTTTTGATGTCTAATTTAATTTTTGTTTGATTCTGAATAGTGTCTTAGTTTCTATTATCATTAAATCTTTGACACATGACTTATTTGGAGTTAGATTTTTCAATAACTATGCATGGTTATATTTTTGTAGAGGTATAATTACTTATAGTGGAATACATAAATCTTCTGAGTTGGATAAGTTTGACAGATGTATACATACATCTAACCAACACCCTATTCAAGATACAGAACATTTCTGTCATTCTGGAAAGGTCCTGCATATAGCTGGGTGTTTTTTAGTTCCCCTTTTGTTGCTGGTTTCTAATTTAATTACACTGTAGCAGAGTATGTGGTCTTTGTGTTATTGAATCTTAGATATTTGTTGAGATTTGCTTTTTGGTCTAGTGTGGCACATCCTACTAGTTGCCTACCAAAACTTCCCTTTCTTACTTACAATGGAATGTAGATGTTTTTGTTCAGATTGGTAATGTGCACTATTAAAAAACCCCCATCTCCCAGTCGTTCTTGCAGTTAGAGAAGGCCACGTCACCCAGTTCTGGTCAGTATAAGAAGTCACTCGGTGTGATTCCTGGAAAAGAGGTTGAAAAGGAGTGTTTTCATTTAGCCAGATCCCTCTACTTGCCTTTTGTACAAGCAGACATGATGTCCAGTGCTAGAGGAGCCATCCTGTGACCATGAGGATAAAAGCTGCAGGCTAAAGAGAGTATAGCCAGAAGTCACAACCACTCTGGTTCCCCAGTTGATATCTTTATGGGTCTGCACCAGCCCTGAACTGTTTATCTATTATTATTATTTATTATTATTTTTTGTTAATCCTCATAGGAGGATTTTTTTCCATTGCTTTTCAGAGAGAGAGCGGGAGGGAGGGAGGGGAAGAAGAGAGGGGGGAGAGAGAGAGAAAGAAAGAAACACTGATGTGAGAGAGACACATTGATTGGTTGCATCCTGCACCCAGGTATGTGCCCTTTACCTGAAATTGAACCCAGGACCCTTCGGTCCATGGGCCGATGCTCTTAACCACTTAGCCAAACTGGCTAGGGCAAGGCAGTTCCATTTTTAATTTTTTGAGGAAACTCCATACTGTTTCCCACAGTGGCTGCACCATTCTGCATTCCCACCAACAGTGCACAAGGGTTCCCTTTTCTCCACATCCTCGCCAGCACTTGTTGATTTATTCATGGTAGTCATCCTGGTAGATGTGAGGTGATACCTCATTGTAGTTTTAATTTGCATCTCTCTGATGATTAGTGACGTTGAGCATTTTTTCTTATGTCTCTTGGCCATCTGTATGTCCTCTTTGGAGAAGTGTTTATTCAGGTCCTTTGCCCATTTTAAAATTGGCTTGTCTTCATTTTGTTGAGTTATATGAATTCTTTGTATATTTTGAATATTAATCCCTTATTAGATGTATCATTGGTGAATATGTTCTCCCATACAGTGGGTTCCCTTTTCATTTTGATGGTGATTTCTTTTGCTGTGAAGAAGCTTTTTATTTTGATGTAGTCCCATTTGTTTATTTTTTCCCTTTATTTCTCTTGCTCTAGGAGATGTATCAATGAAAATTCTGCTGTGTGAGATTTTACTGCCTGTGCTTTCTTCTAGGATTTTTATGGTTTTAAGACATTTAAGTCTTTTCCCCATTTTTAGTTTATTCTTGTATATGGTGTAAGTTAGTGGTCCAATTTTCCCATGTACCTGTCCAATTTTCCCAGCATCATTTATTTTTATTTTTTATTTTAATCCTCACCCTAGGTTATTTTATCCATTGCTTTTCAGAGAGAGTGGATGGGGCGAGAGAGAGAGAAACATCAATGTGAGAGAGATACATTGGTTGGTTGCCTCCTGCACGAGCGAACTGAGGCCGGGGATCAAAACTGCAACTGAGGTACATGTCCTTGGCTGGAATTGAACCCGGGACCCTTCAGTCTGCAGGCTGATGCTCTAACCACTAAGCCAAACCGGCTAGGGCCCCAGTGTCATTTATTGAAGAGACTGTCTGTACTCCAATGTATGTTCTTGCCTTTGTTGTCAAATATTAATTGACCATAAAGTTGTGGGTTGATTTCTGGGGTCTCTGTTCTGTTTCATTGATCTATATGCCTGTTGTTGTGCCAGTACCAGGCTGTTTTGATTACAATGTTTTGTAGTATAGTTTGCGATTAGGTGTTGTGATACCTCCAACTTTGCTCTTTCTCAAGATTGCTGCAGCTATTTGGGGTCTTTTCAGTTCCATATACAGTCTTGGAATATTTTTTTCTAGTGCTGTGAAATATAACATTGGTATTTTAATAGGAATTGCATTGAATCTATATATTGCTTTAGGTAGAATGGACATTTTAACGATGTTAATTATTCCACTCCATGAACACGGTATATGCTCCCACTTGTTTGTATCTTTCTCTTTTCTTCCTTGAATGTTCTATAGTTTTCCAACCCTTGGTTTAAATGCTGGATTAGATTTAGGTTAGACTGATTTGTGAATAATTTTATTTACCATACATGCGATGTTGTAAATTCATATTTTATCAGGAGATACATAATGTTAGGTTGCCCACCATTGACAATGTTAAGCTGATCATTAAGGTCAGATGGTGACTGTTATATCTCCCTACTGTAAATGTGCACTTTGGTCCTTGTAATTAATCAGTAATCTATGAGGTGATTTTTTATTTTTTTTTGCACTGTGGGACCAGCCTGTTCTCCAAGAGCGTTTCACATTGAGTTTTAGTGGCCATTTACTCGATACTGAAAAAATCATGATTTTCTAATTTTATCTTGTCTTTTACAGTTATTGGCTGATATTTTTAGGTATCACCACTATGGACTCATGGAAGTTTTTAATGTTAAAACCATTTACAGTCATTTTCCATGATGTTCAAATTATACAAATGTAGTCTGTGGAAACCCACAAGGAATTTCCTTCAGGTGAAATTGCTCTGGAATTGGATTTTGCCTAGATGAAGTAATATGTATAAATACAACTTACATGTGTACTTTAGCAATATACACCTTTTCCACAGCTCAGTTTGTAAAATGTAAGGATGTAGAGACTCTACTGATTTTACTCTAACATTTTTGTTTTTACATATAAGTTGTAAAACTGGGTCTGACTTGATCTGTGTGCAGCACCTGGTAAGAGAAATATTTTTAAATGAAAAAGTAGTAAGTCTTTAGAAATGAAGAGTGAAGAAGTCGAGGCATATAGGCAGGAGACCAATACAGGTGTTTGGCTGAACATTACTTTACTCTTTTATGTCATTATAAGAAAGATCTTTGAGGATGCTGTTCCTTGTTATATATATTGAACTTGAGGAATATTTTTGTAGATAAACAGGTTGAAGTGGAGGGCTTCACCTAGACAACTGAGGAATTGGGTCAGAGTTCCTTGACTGTGCTGGGATTGAGCTGAGTATGCTATGTCGACCAGAAAACCCCAATTCTCCAGCAACTGAAGGTCAAACATTTCCTGCATACTTTCTCCCACAATGGTGCCATGAAGACTTATGTGTAACAAACATAAAAAAGTATTTTCTGTACTCTGCCCAAAGGATGACAGTTCAGTGTTTTCCTCATTTTCCAGGAGACAGGATCATCTGGTTTAGTTGTTAATTTAATTTTCCTGAGAAGGAAAAGGTAAAAATGATACTGTATTAAAAAGTGCAAGACTTGTACTCTGAAAACTGAAAAATTGTCAAAAGAAGTCAAATAACCTAAAGAAATGGGAAAATATTGCATGTTTATGAATCAGAAGAAGACTTAATATAGTTAAGATTACAGTACCTCCATATTGATCTACAGATTCAACACAATCCTTATCAGTATCTCAGTTAAATTTTTCTTAGAAATTGAAAAGCACATCTTAAAATTTATATGGGACTTCAAAGGGTCCAGAACAGCTGAAACAATCTTGAAAAAGAACAAATTTGTAGACTCAATTCCCCAATTTCAAACTTGCTACAAAGTATAGAAATCAAGATAGATGATGGAAGAGAGTTAAATATCCCAAAATGAAACCTTATATTTATTGTGAATTAATTTTGACTAGTATGTCAGGACAATTCATTCATGGAAAGAACAATCTTTTCAGTAAATGATGACAGGTCAACTGGATATCCACATATAAAAGAATGTGCATCTCACACTATAGTAAAAACCTCAAACCATTTAAGAAATTAATTCCAAATCATATACCTAAATGTAATAACAAAAAGCTATAAATGTTTTGAAAGAAAACATGTATAAATCTTATGGGCGGTAGGCAATTCTTTTTAAAATTATGATACTCAAAAGCACAAGTAAACAAAAAAAATAGATAAGTTTGACTTTGCCAAAATTAAAAAAATGTGTGTGTCAATGGACACTATCAAGAGTGTGATAAATTAGACAACAGAATGGGAGAAGAAATTTGAAAATCATGTCTGACAAGGGACTTGTGCCTAGAACATACGTGGAATTTTTACAACTTACCAATAAAAGCTAAATGACTGAATTAAAAATGGCAAGAGAGTTTGAATAGATATTTCCCCAAAGAAGATACGCAAAAGCCTAACAACCACGTGAAAAGATGCTCAACAGTAAACATTCAAAAACCTAATGAAAGAGCACTTTACACCCACTGAAATATAAAAAACTAGTCCTGGCCGGTGTGGCTCAGTTGGTTGAAGCATCATTCTGTGCACTGAAGGGTCTAGGGTTCGATTCCCAGTCAGGGCACATACCCAGGTTGTGGGTTCAATCCCCAGCTGGGGCACATATGGGATTGATGTTTCTCTCTCACACTGATGTTTCTGTCTCCCTCTCCCTTTCCCTCTCTCTAAAATCAATAAAATCATATTCTCAGATGAGGGTTTAAAAAGGCAAAACCAAAAAACAAATTTTCATGAGGATGTGGGGGAAATTGGAAACCTTATATATTTTGGTCTTGTTTCTAGTAGAATTGGGGAATCATTTGGGGGATTTTTATTCAAGGTGACATATCAAATTTTTGTTTTAAGAAGATAACTGAGTTTTATGTGATCAATTGTTGCAGGAGAGAGAAGAGTAGATGAGAAAGACCAGTTAGGGGGATACTGCAGTATAGCCAAAGGAAGATGACAGCTGGATTTAGGGAGGAGGTGATGGACACAGTGTTAACAAGACAGACGTGTAAGTACTGTGGAGGAAATATTAGAATGATTTAGCAATGGATTGGTTTGGGGTAGAACAGGGTAGGGAAGAGGAGAATGTTAAAGATTTTCCAGGTCCTGACTGGTGCAGTGAGATGAATGGAGAAACTCCAACTTGGCCATGTCGGGCTGCTTCATGTAAGTAGAGGTGTCAAGTAGGCAACTGGAAATAGTATTCTGGGGCTCATAGATAATTTAGAGCTAGAAAAATATTTGGCCATCATTTCCTTGTGCATGGCTCATTATCGTTGAATCCCTGTAGACAAGATTGTCTATGAGAGGGTATAATGTAATAATGGAAGTATTTCTAGAACAAAGCTAGATAGAGTAAATGAAATCTAAAGAAGATGAAGAAAGCTCAGCCAGAAAATTAATAATGCCAGGGATGTTGAGATATAGGAGCAAGGACAAAAGAGAAGTTTCATGATGGGGGCAGTAACAAAAACACCCAATAGTACTAAGAGGACCAAAAAATACTTATTTCATCCAGTGATATGAAGGTCACTGGAGACTTAAGAAAGAGTTGTTTTGGTGGAATGATACAGGCACAAAACAGTTTTGCGTGTGTGAGGAAGTAGAGGGAGGGACCAAATGTATAACTTTAATACTTTTTAGTATGACAGAGATTTAGCATGTTGCAATGAAGGCAGAAAGGATGCTGTTGAAAAGGTGAGACTGTACAAGGTTCAGAGAGAGTATGTATGAGCAGTAATGTAAAGTTATGGAGCAGTCAAGAGGGTTGGGAACAAAAATGCAATAGAAGGATTAGCCTTAAAAAGTCAGAAGCACATTTTGTCTGTTGCAAGAAGATGGAAGGAGGAGAGAATGAACCAGATGTCAAATGCCTGGTGGTTTTGAGAGCACAATGTTGACCCTGTTTCATGCTGCTGACTTGATTTTCTGTGGAAGAAACTGGCAGAAACACCTGCTAGAATGGAAAGAGAAGAATGAGATTTTTTGAGGATGGAGAATTTTGGAAGGATCGGTTGTAGAGGGTTGGACAAACAAGTGGATGAAAAATATGTATAAGGCTTGGCAGGCAGTGTGGTGGGTCTATGAAAGTTGGGAGAAAAAGTGAATTGTCTGAAAACCTTGCACAATTCATATAGGCCCCATGAGCCTCACTTTCTTTACTTACCAAATGGGAACATAATGATACTTAGCTCCAAGTGCTGATGTGAAGAATGTGTGAACAAAAAGCATGAGATAAGATTTTGTAAAACAGAAGGTACAAATGTTCATAATGTTCATTGCCATTGCCTGGGTCTCTCCTCAGCTCTCTGTGATTCTCCTTGGTTTTGCACTATTTGTATGTGTTGAAAATATGAGGGACAGTTGTAGACTCTTAAGGAAAGTCTCAAATCCAACCTACCACTTATTTCACTAACTTTTATGACTATATGTACCATGTATTTGTTTTTTATATAGAGGGTAGTGTGGAATGACTTGGGATAAAGGACGGTGCTGTGATGGTGAAGTCTGAGCATCACAGCTTCAGGTCATTAGCTCCTGTTTGTTGAGCTGACCATTGCTTCTCTTTCTGCTTATGAGGAAGTGTTTTGTATCTTCTCACTAAGTAAAATTAAAAACCACATGCACCATGTCTCACAAAGTGGGTGCTCTACACACGTGGGGAATGAGAGGATAATCATGGGCGAGGGTCAAGGTGATCACATCAACACTGTGAATGAAAGTACAGAAACAGTTCCATTTTTGACATGGAAGTGCCTTGGGGTGAGGGCACAAGTAAACCCAGTGTGAGCCATCTGAGGGCATCACCTGCTATATACCCAGGTAGTCCAGTGTGATGGGCCAGTAGCTACTCAAGTGGATCAGTTAGTGAGGTGCTCTGGGAGCAATATGTGATCTTACCTCATTGTGTTTGGAGACTTCAGACATGGCCCTGCTGGAGAGGGTGTACTTCTCAGAGTTGGCTTTGGTTTCCTTGACCCCTTTCAACCATTTCCTGTATTGCTCCTGGACCTACAGAGGTGAATCATGCTCTGAGTCAGCTCACTGAGAGGAGTAAGAGTGGAAAGTCCTGGGTGGGAGTTGGACAGTGGTACCTGCTGGCTGAGGAGACAGTACACCAGGAAGATGAAGACACCCTGCAGGCTGTTGATGATGGTGAAGAGATAGGCCATGGCGTGAGCAGCTGGGCCCACCTGCAGGATTCCCAGACACCATGTGCAGCCCAAGATGAAGAGCTGAGCCATTGCTTTAAATGTCAGCATCCTTGGTAGGAGGAGAAGAGAGGCACATGGTGCACCCGAGCAACAGAATTAAGGTCATCCTCATCTCCACCCCATGCATGCGTATGACTGAGTTGTGATCAACTTTGATAATTACTCTCAATGATCCTCGAAACAGAAATGCTATCAGGATTTCTCATGATGTTTTGACTTGGACTGAAGTATAGTGATAATTCATAATGTGGATTTCAAAAAGATCATGATGTTTCATGAATGTCCCTAATTTCATTCAACTGACATTCCTGAAGACATTCTGTGTACCTGACTCTGTGCTGGGTCTTGTATATTAAAAATAACAAAGATAATTTATGCTTTTACAGACCTTAAAGTTTCATGGAAAGACTAAAACAAATGGTCACTTATAATATTTGTTACATGTGAGGCACCTCTGCCTGGGTCCCATCCAGTACCACTCCTATCTTCTCCATGAGCTGACTGTGAGCATGCTTTGCCTAGAATAGAGGCCATTCATTCTGTGCAAAGTTTAGGAAAGCAAAGGACATCCCTAACCTTTCAGAAGATGTGATACGTGGATAAAGAACCTGATTTCACCAGGTGTAGGAGTAGAGAGGGCAGAGGGAAGAGTATCCATGAAGGTGTGGGCATGAATGTGCATGCTGGGTTCTGGGAACAGTTATGTGATTTCCTAAGTGTTTTATAAAGATGAAAATGTTCTGAGAGCTTTTTCATAGGGCCATGGAAGTAATCCATGTTTAACAGAACAAAGTCAATTCTCTCTGTAGCTGAGGTAATTTCACGCTGGAGTATGGAGAAACAAAATATTTTTGGCTTGGGTTTCAGCAGCAAACCGCCATACCTAAGCTGGTTTCCAGAGAAGGTGGCTGGACCTCTCTCCTCCTGACCCCTCAGAATCCCCGTGAAAGGACATCAGGAGCTTGGAACCATAGGGCATTGCTCCTGGACCACGCTTTGTATGGGGTGGTGTGCACCTCTGATCCCCCTCACCTCGTGTTCTGGAGGGTGGACACATCCCTGTTGAGTGAGGAGAGCTTGTTTTTCAGAATCCAGAAGGTCATCAGAAAGAAAGCCAAGTTAATCTGCAGAAACCCCACAAAGCATATTGAATACATGCCATATCTATACCTTCCTCCTAGCTCATCTAACACCTAACCCAGTAGATAAGAAGCTTTCATATTTCATAACAGTCACAGAAGAAGAGACAAATATCCAGTAACTCAGGCTCACGCTTGTCCTGTAACAGGGGTGACCAACTTGTTCTAGGTTACATGGCAATGTCCACATTTTAGTACTGAAAATCTGATGTCTCAGGAAACCCCTTTATCCTGGTTTTAAAACAGAAATTTTGCCTCCTGTAAGCCTCCTCAGTCCTGTAATGATTGCTCACTCTGCCTGAACCCCTCCTTATACACCTGCTCTTTGACTGACCCTCAGCTGGGCAGGAAGGATGCTCTGATGTCATCCTTTACTCACAGAGATGATGGCGCAGACGGGGCCAAGGAAGGCCCATATAAATCCGTTGTCTGTGTGGAGCCAGCATCTAAGAGAGATGGAAAGAAACTGAAGAATCTATTTGCCTGTGTGGATAAAGAATCGATAAACATATCCTCACCACCCATAGTTTCTTCTGTCTCCTATGGCTAATATTGTTACTTTTTTTGGTAAGAACCTTTAAGCTAAAATCTACCCTCTTAGTAAAATTTAAGTATACAATACAATAGTGTTAATTATAGGCACTATGCTCTATAGATCTTATACACATAGCTTTGTGTATGCCTTTGATGTGTATGTCCTGGTTGTATACTTATGTTCAGACTCATCAGGTTATATACATTAATGGTGTACAGCATTGTATAAATCAATCATACCACAATAACGTGGTTTTAAAAACAGACACATTTCTTTTAAGAAGTTCTTTTGAGTCCTAACCCCTAGACATGCTGGCAGAAAAAAATATACATTTTAAAATGAAAAGACAAATATCAATCAGTAAATTAATTTATGGTTTATTGGACAAATGTTGTGTCTCCTCTGTATCAGGACCGCTGCTAGACCTGAAGACCCAACTGCAATTGAGATCTGGCCTCAGTCCTCAGGCAGGCCCCAGTCCTCAGGCAGGCCCCAGCTGGGTGGGAAGGTGACCAATTAGACAACAAAAACAATCAAGATGATGAGCTTTATGATCAATTGTGAGGAGCTATGAGAACACGTAGCTGGGTTGATTGCCCAGGCTAGTGTATAGGAGATTCAGGTAGTTGGGAAGGGTTCCCTGAGAGAATTGTGTTTATTCTGAGATATGAAGGATGAGCAGGGTAGACAAGGTGAAAAAATTTGGGATGTGCAAGATGATAGTAAAAAAGATAACAATAACCTGACACAGTACTAACTCAGACTCATATGCATTAAATAATTTATTCTTCATGACAACATTGAGACTCTAGTGATTACAGGTTGGCATCTGATGCTTAAGGAAACATAGTAACTCAAGGCCACACTGATAGAAATGATAGAATTGGAAATGATTCCATGTGAGATATTTGTGAATGAGTTGGGAGGTGTGAGGACCGTGGAGTTAGATGGATCCACCAGAAGACTCAAAGCCTACACTACTAAGACAGTGTTGGTAAACTTCACCCTATGGGTCCGATGGTGTCACCACCTGATTTTGTAAATGTGTTTTACTGGAACACAGTTACACTCATTCTACTGTATGTTGTCTACGGCAGCTCTTGTGCTACAAGGACAGAGGTGAGTAGTGGCAGTAGGGACCACATGGTCCACAAAGCTGCAATATTTACTATGTGGCCCTTTACAGATAAAGTTTGCTGACTTTTATGCAAGCTATACAGGAAGGCCAGCTGACCAGGGCTACTCTGATGTCAGTGAACATTAATTTTATCAACATAGGAGTTGATAATGTTGTAAATGCCAGATTTTCTGTATTTGATCCCAGCTCTGCCACTAACCAGCTGTGTGATTTGGACCATGTCAGTAATCTCTGCACCTCAGTTTCCTCATCTGTAAAACTCATATAATACCAGTTTCTACCTCAGTGGGTTGTTGGGAGGATGACTTGAGCTGATACATGAAAAATACTGAGAACAATGATTGCATGTCAAAAGTGATTTCTAAATCTTAGCTCTGGTCATCATGATTTCATCATCTAAATTCTCCCCCCTTTTTAACAAAAATTAAGGAGAGAATAGGTTGCACCAACCAATGCCATCCCTTCATTTCCATTTTGCTTTCTAGAAGATTTATAATAGTCCCCTCAATTAATGCAATGAATATTATATTAACATAAATTTACTTATATATAAGATGAGATTAATATTGTGTATCATAGTTTTTAATGTAATACAGTCATTAATATAATATAGAGTTAATATTTAAAATAACCAAAGACCTTATATGCATATATGCATAACCCATGGACAGACAATAGTGTGGTGAAGACCTAGGGAGGGGGCAGGAGTGGAGCGGAGGGGGAAAAAAGGGGGACATCTGCAATGCTTTCAACACTAAAGATAAATTTTAAAAAATAAAATAATTAAATCTAAAAGATGAAAAGTCAGCTTATTTATTTTAACTATATATTTATGATTATTAATGTTTCATTATTATAATAGTGTAGGTTATTAATATAATACATAATTAATATTATAGTAATATTAATTATTAACATACTACCTGTATATAATTAACATTTGAAACAATGGTATTTTAAGTTCTTAAAAACAGTCACTTCAAGCAAGGAATACAATCATGGAACCAGGAAGACGTCTTTGGGTGATTACTGTTTTTCTATACTTATCACATTCTAGTGAAATTAAAGTGCTGCATTGGTTATTGGTGCTGACCATGGTCATGTGGAGAAGATAAGAACAATGGGAACTTTAATTTACCGGACAGGTGTTCCATAAAGGTGAGGCCTGGAAGCTGCAGAAATGGCCACAATCACAGCCGGGATTCCGTAGCCCACAGGGAACATGAACTTCTTCATGAACCTGCTCACGCTAGAGTAGTTGACCACCATCAAGTTGCGTGCGGTGAGGAAGAGGTTCAGGCCCTCCAGCAACATCCAGGTGAAGGAGGCCAGGTAGAGATAGTGTAAGGCACCCGCGATGATGGAGCACAGCACCTAAGGGAGGAGAGAGTCACCAGGTGGGATTGTCAGGGAGAAGTGTGGCCCCAGGACCTCTCCTATACCTTGCCATTTGGGGGAACTCTGAGGTATTTGAAGGAAATGTCAAAAAAGGGTGTGTCTTCTCATTGGATCAGTGAATGTGAAATTGGCTACTCATCCCTCTAACATTCCCAAACCCAAGGCCATTATACAGGATGTCCCCCCAAAATGTATAAACACTTTGAATAATCATTAATTCAAATGGGTTAAATCTGAAAAGGAGGAAACATCAATTCAGCTATCAGCTAAGAGTATATACATTTTTTTTTTGAATACCCTATATTAAGATGTTCAATGCAGCATGGCCCCACGAACTCCAAACCCCCTTGGGCAGGGTGGGGTCCTTTGGGACAGTGTCAGTACCTTGTGCTCAGTTCTGTCGATGGCCGTGAGGAAGAGCAGGTGGGCCAGGAAGAGGCAGAGTGAGAGCTGCAGATGGAGTGAGGTGCTAATATTCTGGATGGCTTTGCACAGCAGGAAGGTGAGAGCCGCCAGGAAGAGGCACAGCAGAGAGAGGCTCAGTCCCATGTGGGTGATCACAGTCAGGGCAGGATCCGTCTTCTGGGACCCAGCAAAGAGGAGAAAGCACCCATACTTTCCTGGGCTGGGTTAATGACCCCTCCACCACATTTAGTTTTATTTTTCAGTGTAACAAAATCAGGAATGGAGGCGCCACCTAAATTTATGATGTTTGTGGGTAATGTTAGAATTTTATGGGGCTCTGAACTGATTAATTCAGACCCTGGAAGAATTGAGGGATAGCCCGGTCGGGTGTGGCTCAGCGGTTGAGCGTCGACCTACAATCCAGGCGATCGGGGTTCGATTCCCGGTCAGTGCACATGCCTGGGTTGTGGGCTGCAGCCGATCAATGACTCTCTCATCATTGATGTTTCTATCCCTCTCTCTCCCTCTCCTTTCCTCTCTCTGAAATCAATAAAGATATATTTAAAAAAAAAAAAAAGAAGAATTGAGGGATAGAAGAGACCTTACTCAAGACCAAGTTCTGGAACTCAGAGGGTTTATTTATTTAAAAATATTTTTATTGATTTTTAGAGATAGAGGAAGGGAAAGAGTGATAGAGAAACACTGATGGGTTGCCTCTTGCATGCCCCCCACCAGGGATGGAGCCACAACTCGGGCATGTGCCCTGACCAGGAATCAAACTGGCAATCTTTTGGTGGACTGGATGATGCCCAACCAACTGAGCCACACTGGCCAGGGCATAGGGTTTATTTGCTTTTAGATTTTTGGGTATGACTAAGCTTATAGGTTTATCATGTGAGAAGAATGAAGTGTGTGTAAGCAATTGCAATATTATTTATTAGCAAATGATCAAAACAAAACCCCACTACAAGAAGCCTTGATGTGTAATTTATGGCGGATTCACAAAATGAAATGCTTGTGGCAATAAAAATAATGAAGTGTCTTTTTGTAAGCTGGAATAGAAAATTCTCTTAGATGTAATAAATAAAACATGATTTGCACAACAGTGAAAAAAACAACACTCCACTAAGTCTTTGAAAAGAGGAAGACCAAAGAGCAAATATATGCATTATTTTTATACAGGGTGGGGCAAAAGTAGTGAGATCTGGCCATTTGGCTATTATCCTTTTCATGGTTATTTTCATGCAGGTGCCACATTTATTTCAGTAAATGCCTCATTACCTGAAGTTATTTGTGCAAGTTTCTGGTTTTGGTGAACCAGAGAAGTAACCAGTTCAACTGGACAGGGGAGGAGGCACACACGGCTACTGATTTGCCTGTACTCATTGGATCCCCGGTCCCCTCTGAACTTTGCCATCATCAAATCTTCCTTTATGAAGCCCCTGATTACCCTTGTCGTGAAGACCCCCTTGGTGGGCAGAGTTCTAGTTTGGCAACCATGACCCCACCGGCATGTGTACATATAACTACTTCCAGGTTTTCAGTCAAATGCCATCTAGGTGCTCCTGTGAAGGCATTTTGCAGGTCCATAATGAACTCACTTGAAGACAGGGAGTTTCTCTTGTATGGGTCAGACTTAATCAGATGAGCCCTTAACCGATCAAGGTTCTTGGAGCAAATGATTCAAAGTTTGAGGGTGTTTTAATGTGAGGGAGATTCTCCTGCTGGCCTCCAGTTAGCAATACTGACACACTGTGAGAAGGCCTATGAGAGGGCTACATGAGAATAAATGCAGGTAGTCCCTAGGAGCTGAGTGTGCTCCCCCACTGCCAGCTAGTAAGAAAGTGAGAAACCAGTCCTACAACTGCAAGGAACTGAATTCTAAGCCAGGGAGCTTAGAGGAGAACTGCAAGACGCAGATGAGATTACAGGCCTGGCTGACACAGTCATTTTAGCCACATGAGACCCTGAGTAGACAACCCAGGTATGCCGTAAGAGATTGCTGACATGAGGATTCCGCAGGATAACAAATTTGTGTGTGTGTGTGTTTTGTATTGTTGAAAGTATTACAGATGTCCCCTTTTCCCCCCATTGATTCCCTCCACCCTGTGTGTTTTTAAGATACTACATTTGTAGGGAATTTATTACACAGCAGTAGACATTGAATTCATCCCCTCTTAGGGCTCTCACCTGCACCTCATAGTGGGCCATGAGGACGGCAAAGCTGCTGAGGTGGGTACATTGGCAGGTGGTGCTGGTGCCTCTGGTGCCCACCATCCAGCAGCCTTTGGTGGACCAATGACCACTTCCATCTTGGCCATGCTCCCAGAAGACACAGTACAACTTTTGCCTTGGCCTGGGAGTCACTGACTATAGGAAAAGAGCACAGGTATGAGCTGGTGGTTCTGGTGCTCAGAAATGCTGACCCAAATCCTACTTGTGATGAGCTTTCCTGGGGAAATGATGCACCCATGGGGAGCCCCCTGAACCCCAAGTCTATGCCTAGTACTCAGGCTTATTTTACACCTACAGCCCCATACTACCAGGACTCACATGGTTGAAGATGAAGGTGACTGGGGAGCTTAGGTTCTGGGTGTTGTTACTGCTCACAAAGACGGAGATGACATCTGAGAGCAGGAAGGGGGAGACTTCCTGCAACAAGCCCTTGTGTGTCTCATGCAGAACTGCCTGTTCCTCAGTTTCCAGGACTAGGGAGGCCTCAGACAGCAACTTGCGAATCCCAGGCATGGAGAAAAGGCCCACCACAGAAGAAACTGTAGGACAAGGCCATGATTGACTTCTTGGAGTGCCCAACACAACCTCTTCTTCAGGTAGACTCTTTCCTTTTGGGCCCACCATAGCCCACACTTTTCCTTTAAACTGTAATTCTCCATTTGCCCCAACTTTGGGTATCTTGTCCCACTGTGAAACCTCAGTGAACTTCTCCCCATCTTAGCCTTACCTGAGTCACCAGATTCCTGTACTGTATCCCAGTCCAGGAGCATCTTCGCCTGATTAACATTTAAGGTGACATTCTTTTGTCCTTTCTTCGTCACCTTCAGGGACAGTTCTTTGAATTGTGGGAGTTATATAAGGGCATTAGATTAGTAATTGAAACTGCAATGGTTGCTATAATGCCCTATTATATATACTTTCTATATTATATAAATGTATTATATATTTATATATTATATAATATATATTACTTATATATAATGGTATTATTTAGTAAACATGATAATAGTATAACACAATATTTGTATACATAATAATGGCATATATATCATGTGGATTTACAATCAAAGGATTGTAAGAGAATATCATGAGCAACTATTCAACAACCAGTTAGATAACCTAGACAAAATGGAGAAATTCCTAGAGACATACAAAGTACCCAAACTGAATAAGATATAGAAAACTGTAATAGACCTATAAGAGGTAAATAGATTGAAACATTAATAAAAAACTTCTCCAAATAAAAAGCCCACTAGTGAAAAAGAGAAAAGATTCAAATAAACAAAATCAGCAATGAAAGAGAAGTTACCACAGATACCACAGAAATACAAAAGGTTATACTAGAATACTATGAAAGACAATATATGACCAAATTCAATAATCTAGAAGAAACAGATAAGTTCCTAGAAATATGTAACCTTCCTAGACTGAATCGTGAAGAACTGGAAAATCTAAATAGACTGATAAACAGTGAGGAAATTGAAACAACCATCAAAAACTTCCACAAAAATAAATGAAATAAAAAAATCCTTCTGCAACAAAAGGAATAAAATACTTACAAAGAAACTTAACAAAGGATTTGAAGGACCTATATACTGAAAACTACAAAGTATTATTAAAAGAGATTAAAAAAACACAATAAATATAAAAATATTCTATGTTCATGGGTTGGAAGAATCAACATAGTTAAAATGTTCATATTACCCAAAGTAATATACAGATTTAATGCAATCCCCATCAAAACCCCAATGACATTTTTTAAAGAAATAGAAAAAAAATCATCAGTTTGTATGAAACTACAATAGACCGTAAATAACTGAATCAATCCTGAAAGAAAAAAAAAAAAGAATAAAACCGAAGATATCACACTGCCTAAGTAAAATAATACTACAAGGCGATGACAATAAAAACAGCATGGTATTCACAGAAAAACAGATATACAGACCAATGGAACATAATTGAGAGCCCAGAAATAAACCCACATGTATATGAACAAATAATTTTTGACAAAGGAGTCAAAAATATACAATGGAGAAAAGAAAGCCTCTTCAATAAATGGTGCTGGGAAAATTGACCACATGTAAAAGAATGAAACTAGACTATAGTTTGTCTCTATGTGCAAAAATTAACTCAAAATGGATCAAAGACCTAAATATAAGATCTGAAACAATAAACTACATAGAAGAAAACATGAGTACTAAGCTTATGAACCTTAGTTTTAGAGAAGATTTTATGAATTTGACTCCAAAGGCAAGGGAAGTAAAGGCAAAAATAAATTAATGGGACTACAACAAACTAAAAAGTTTTTGCATAGCAAAAGAAACTGCCAACAAAACAAAAGGGCAACCAACCCAATGGAAGATGATATTTGCAGACAACAGTTTAAACAAGGGGTTAATATCCAAAATATAGCTTTGCACCTGTGCAGTGTGGTTGGGTCCTGGGGAATTTGGCTTCTGGAGCAAGGATCCTAGCCAGGACACACATTACATTGAATTGTCATATCTCCTTAGTCTCCTCTTGTCTGTGACAATTTCTTAGACTTTCCTTGGTTTTGATGACACTGATAGTTTTGCGGCATACTGCTTATTTATTTTGCAAAATATTTCTCAATTGGGACTTGCCTGATATTTTTCCCATAATTAGACTGTGGTTATGGATTGTGGGTGGGAGAGCATAGAGGTAAAGTACGATTCTCACTCCTTATGATTTTGAAGCAAATCCTAGAAACCATATCATTTTATATGTAGATATTTCAGATTGAATCTCTAAAACATAAAGGCTCTTTTCCCTGAGATATATCTTTGGCTGGGAAGGAACCTTCTTTCATACAGCTGTAGCACTGCAGGTTAATGATGATGATTCTTTTAAATCTAACTGTAATGTTTTCCTGGATTACCAACACTTCAACTTACTTTGAATAAAGCCAGCAGATTAAATTTTTACATTATTTGTTCAGTGAAGATGGCGGTGTAGGTAAATGTGGTACTCACCTCCTCCCACAACCACATCAAAATTACAAGTAAACTACGGAACAACCATCATTTAGAATCACCTGAAATCTGGCTGAATTCCTACAACTAGAGTTTTAAAGAAGAAGCCATATGGAGATTGGTAAGAGGGGTGAAGACATGGGACAGGCTGGTCCCACACCCATGTGTAGCAGACAAAAATCAGAAGAAATATCTCAGCTGTGGAGGTCTCCCCTGAGGAGCAAGGGATCTCAGCCACATACCAGGGTTCCAGCGCCAAGAGGAGAAGTCCCTATAACTTCTGGCTGTAAAAACCAGTGGTGATTGAGGTTGGAGGAGATGGAGGGCTGCTGGGGTCCCAGGCATGTTCTTTTAAAGGGCCTGCACACTGATTTACTTGGGCTCACTCCCTCTGAGTTCCAGTGCTGGGGCAGCAGCTTGAATGCACAAGAGACATACAGGACATAAAATAGTCTGGTACCAGGCATGAAAAGGTCTGGTATCAGGGCATGAGCTGGGGTGGGGGAAGCTTTCTCCCAGAAAGAAGTACTGGTAGAGGCCATTGTTTCTTTGATGAGCCCTCCACCCACAGAGCTGGCAGGTGGGTGCTATATATAATACTTCATCAACCTGGCTCACACTGTTTGCCCCATCCAGGTGATTCCCTGAGGCCCTGCACCACCGAAATTTTGGGCCCGCCCAAGTTGTTTCCAGTGGCTTTTCCGTAAGAATGGCCTGTCTTGCCCTGCTGGGCGTGGCTCAGCGGTTGAGCGTCGACCTAGGATCCAGGAGATCAGGGTTTGATTCCTGGTCAGGGCACATGCCCAGGTTGCGGGCTGCAGCCAATCAATGACTCTCTCATCATTGAGGTTTCTATCTCTCCCTCTCCTTTCCTCTCTCTGAAATCAATAAAGATATATTAAAAAAAAAACCAAAACAAAACAATGGCCTGTCTTAACTCATGTTTCAGATTCTCCTAAAACCTCTTCAATAAGCAGCATCTGGCCTCAGCATGCGCCGTACCTCTCACTAAGTGGCCCCTAGCCTGGCACTAGTAGCAATTGGCCTTGCTTCACAGCTTGGCCTCTCCGGGGCACCTCCAAGCCCAGCACAAGTAGCAGCCATCGGCAGATCTCTTTGTAGCTCATGCCAAGTGGCCCTGGGCAGAACACAGGTGGTGGCTGACCTTGGCCTGTACCTCCTGGGAGGCTGCCGAGCCAGCACACCCAGTGGACAGCTTTAGACTACATCAAAGCATTACTACCCAACCACCTCCACAAGCAACACACTGAAGGGGCAAACTCAGCGGGCACCAGAGCCTTGCTTAAGTAAGTCCTGCTTTGTGGGGTGGGCTGCTGCACAGATGATCCTCCACGGTGGTAAAACGGTGGTGGTTCATGGTCACAGTCAATCCTTGCAGCTGAGCTACCTGGAGGTAAATTCCTCACGTTGATATGCCAATAGCAATCAAGGCTCAACTACAAGAGGAGGGTGTACACAGCCCATATGTGTGAGGGCACACCTGGAGCACCCAGCTTGGGTGATCGGGGAGGCTGTGCCACTGGACCCCACAGAACACCTACTTCATTAGGCCACTCTACCAAGCCCAGGAGACGTAGCAGCTCTACCTAATACATAGAAACAAACACAGGGAGGCTGCCAAAATGAGGCGACAAGGAAACACATCCCAAATGAAAGAATAGAACAAAACTCCAGAAAAAGAACTAAACAAAATGGGGACACGCAATCTACTAGATGCAGAGTTCAAAACACTGGTTATAAGGATGCTCAAGGAACTTACTGAGAAGCTCAACAGCATAAAAAAGGAACGGCCAGAAATGAAGGATACACTGACTGAAATGAAGTATAATTTACAGGGAATTAACAGTAGAATAGAAAAGCTGAGAACCAAACCAGGAATTTGGAATATAAGGAAGCAAAAGACACCCAATCAGAACAGCAAAAAGAAAACAGAACTTTAAAAAATGAGGAGAGTGTAAGGTGCCTCTGGGACTTCAAGCATACCAACATTCACATCATTGGAGTGCCAGAAATAGAAAAGAGAGAGCAAGACATTGAAAATCTATTTAAAAAAATAATGACAAAATACTTTCTTAACCTGGTGAAGTAAATAGACATATAAGTCCAGGAAGCACAGAGAGTCCCAAACAAGATGAACCCAAAGAGGCTAACAGCAAGACACATCATAATTAAAATGCAAAAGGTTAAAGACAAAGAGAAAATCTTAAAAACAGCAAGAGAAAAGCATTTAGTTACCTACAATGAGCTCCCATATGACTGTCAGCTGATTTCTCAACAGAAACCTTGCAGGCCAGAAGGGATTGGCAAGAAATATTCAAAACGATGAAAAGCAAGAACCTACAACCAAGATTACTTTACCCAGCAAAGCTATCATTTAGAATAGAAGAGCAGATAAAGAGCTTCCTAGACAAGAAAAAGCTAAAGGAGTTCATCACCACAAAACAGTATTATTTAAAATGTTAAAGAGTTTTTCTTTAAGAAGAATAAAAAAAGATAAAAATATGAACAATAAAATGGTAATAAATACATATCTATCAACAATTAAATCTAAAAACAAAATAAACAAAGAAGCAGAACAGAAACAGACTCATAGATGTAAAGAGCATTTTGATGCTGGCAACTTTGATGGTTGCTAGATGTGAGGGGGTTAAGGGGATGGGTGAAAACAGTGAAGGGATTAAGAAGTACAAATTGGTTGTTATAGAACAGTCATGAGGATGTAAGTACAGCATAGGGAATATGTTCAATAATTTTCTAATAACTAAGTATATTGTCAGATGGGTGTTAGATTTATTGGGATCATCACTTAGTAAGTTATATAATGTCTAATCACTGGGATGAACACCTAAAACTAATATGATATTTATGTCAATTGTAATAATAAAAAAAAAGCTCTAATAAAAAATATGTAAAGAACTCATACAACTCAACACCAAACAAACAATACAGTTAAAAAATGGGCAGAGGACTTGAACAGACACTTTCCCAAGAAGACATACAAATGGCCAACAGGTATATGAAAAGATGTTCAACTTCACCAGCTATTAGGGAAATGCAAATCAAAACTACAATGAGATACCACCTTCAGTAGATGATTGGATAAAGAAGATGTGGTACATATATACAATGGAATACTACTCAGCCATAAGAAAAGATGAAACACTGGCATTTGTGACAACATGGATGGACCTTGAGAATATCACGCTAAGCAAAATTTGTCAGACAGAAAAAGTTAAAAATCATATGATTTCACTAATGTGGGATATAAAACTGAAAGCAACAAATGAACAAACAAGATAAACAAAAGAAATCTCATAGACAAAGTGTAGGGTGGTGGGTACACAATGCAATATATACAGAGTATCATAGAAATGTACACTTGAAACCTGTATAATCTTATTAACCAATGTCACCCCAATAAATTTAAAATAAAAAAGACCAAAAAAAAACAATACCAATGGCATTTTTCACAGAACTAGATCAAATAATTCTAAAATATATTGTTTGGAACCACAAAAGGTCCCAAATAGCTAAGCAATCTCGAAAGACAAACAACGTTGTAGGTATCACGTTACCTCATATCAAACGCTTCTGCAAGGCTATAGCAACCAAAACAACATATACTGGTATAAAAATAGACACATAGATCAATGGTACAGAATAGAGAGTCCAGAAGTAAACCCACATCTGTCTGGTCAATTAATCTATGACAAAGGAGGCAAAAAATATACAGTGAGGTAAAGAGTGCCTCTTCAATAAATGGTGTTGAGAAAACTGGACAGACATATGTAAAAAAATTGAAATTAGACCACTTTCTTACACCATATACAAGAATAAACTCAAAATGGATAAAATATTTAAATATAAGACCCAAAACCTTAAAACTCCTGAAAGAAAATATAGGCAGTACACTCTCTGACACTGTTCATAGTAATCCCCCTCCCTACCAATATATCTCCTCAGGCCATGGAAACAAAAAAATAAACAAATGGGATTTAATAAAACTAAAAAGCTTTCACACAGCAAAGTAAACCATTAACAAAATAAAAAAAACAACCTGCTGATTGGGAAAAGATACTTGTCAATGATACACTTGATAAGGGGTTAATATACAAAATTTATAAAGAACTCATACAACTCAAAATGAGAAAACAAAGCAAAACAAACAATTTAAGAAATGGGAAGGGGATGTGATAGACATTTCTCCAAAGGGGACATACAGATGGTCAATAGACATATAAAAAGATGCTCAACACCACTAATCACCAGAGAAATGTAAATTAAAATCACAGTGAGATACTACTTCACACTTGTCAGAATGGCTATCATCAATAAATCAACAAACAATAAGATTTGCTGAGGATGTACAGAAAAAGGAACCCTGGGGCATTGTTGATGGGATTGCAAATTGGTGCAGTTACTATGGAAAACAGTATAGAAATTCCTCAAAAATTAAATAGAACTGCCTTATGACCCAGCAAGTCCACTTCTGGGTATTTATCTGAAGAAATCCAAAGCACTAATTCAAAAAGATATATGGATCACTATATTCATTGTAGCATTACTGACGATAGCCAAGATATGGAAGCAACTTGTGTCCATCAATAGAAGAATGGATAGAGAAGAGGTCCTACATGTACACAATGGAACATTACTTGCCATAGAAGAAATAAAATCTTGCCATTTGCGAAAACTGAATGGACCTAGAGGGTATTGTGTTACATCAAGTAAGTCAGGCAGAGCGTGACAAATACCACATGGCTTCACTTATATGTGGAATCTAAACAACAAAATAAACTAAACAGAAACTGACTCAAATACAGAGAATAAACTGATGGTTGCCATATGGGAGAGGTTTGGAGTGGGGGCGCTGGGTGAAAAAGGGCAAGGGAGATTGAAAAGTACAAATTGGTAGATACAAAATAGTGACAGGAATGTAAAGCATAGGGAATATAGTCAATAATATTTTAATAATTATATATGGTGCCAGGTATGTACTAGACTTATCAAGGGATAACTTAATAAATTATATAAATATCTAACCACTATGTTGTACACCTGAAATACAAAATAATATTAAATGTCAACTGTAATTGAAAAATTAAAAAAGTAATAAATAAATGAGTGAAATTTATGTTTAACCTTAAAAACAAACCCCCAAACCAGTATGATACTGGTATAAGGATAGACATTTAGATCACTAAAATGGAATTGAGAGTTTAGAAATAAATCCATTCCTCTATGGTTTTCAACAAGAGGTGCCCAAATCCTTCAAGGTAGAAAGAGTAGTCTCTCCTACAAATGGTGCTTGGACATCTGGTTATACACACACACAAAAAGAAGCTGGTACTCTACCTCATACAATAAACAAAAATTAACTCAAAATCAGTCAAAGAAAACATAAGGGTAAATCTTCATGATGTTGAATTTGGAAATGGATTCTTATATATGACACCACATGCACAAGGAACAGAAGAAAAAATAGATAAAATGAACTTCATCATACCCAAAGCATCTGTTCATTAGGTGAAAAGACTATGAAGAAAGTGAAAAGACAATCTATGGAATAGACATTTTTCTAAAACACATACACAAATGTTCCAAAGTGACAGGTAAAAATGTTAAACACCATTAATCATTAGGGAAATGCAAATCAAAACCATAATGAGATGTCACCTGACATACACTAGAAAGGCTATAATAAAACCAAAACAAAATGGAAGCAAAAAGTGTTTCTGAGGATGCAGAAAATAGAACCCTATTATATAGCTGGTGGGAATGTAAATGGAAAAGTAGCCATTTTGGAAAAATAGTTTTGTGGGTCCTCAAAAAGTTGAATGTAGAATTATCGTATCACTCAGAGATTTCACCCTAAGTTATGTACCCCAAAGAGCTGAAAAAGTCAGACAAAACTTGTGCACCAATATTCATAGTAGCATTATTCACAGTAGTCAAAAGGAGACAACAACCCACATGTCCATCAATGGATGAATGTATTAACAAAAGGTGGTATATCCACATCCAATGGAATATTATTCAACCATAAAAAGGAAAGAAATATGACACTGTGAATCCTGAGTAAAAAAGACACCTACTAATAAGGGCTCCTGGCAGCTAACTGGGCTCAAATGAAAAAACACACCAGAGGCCTAACAGCCATTTCTTCACAGCAAAGTCTCATGCAAACTACACTTCACAGAGACACCTCCGCTACGCCGCCTGCCTGCGCTCTGAGCCAGCCCCTCTCAAGGTTTCCTGGAACCCTCCTTCAGCCTATAGGATTGAGGCTCCCCATCCAATCAGAGCTGCACAGTGCCGACCAGTTAGAGCAGCTTTATTTTGACCAATCAGGACAGTGCCTTTTGGACCAATCAAACTGAGAGGATTTGGCATCCTCATTTGCATAAGAACAGGCCAATCAGAAACCAGGGACCGAGACTTCTGTCCATATAAGCCCAGCTACTTTTTCTTTCCAGAGTGAAGATTGTTTCTCCCTGGCCGAGTTGGAACAGCAAAGATGTGTGGCTCTGGAACAGAGCAGACTGGAGATTTCTATTGGTGTTTAAGTTGGTGCCAAGGATGATCAGTTGACAACACGTGCTACAACATGGGTGAACCTTGAAAACATTGTTAGGTGACAGAAGCTACACTATAGGGTAACATATTTAATGATTCTATTTATACAAAATATTCAGAGTAAGCAAATTCATAGAGACAGAAAACAGATAAGTGGTTGCCAGGGGTTGGAGGTGGGAAGAACCACTGCTTTGTGGGTACAGTGTTTACTTTTAGGGTGATGAAAATATTTTAGAAATAGAAGTGATGATTACATCTGAATATATTAAATGTCATTGAATTGAACACTTTGGTTAAAATGGTGAACTTTGTGTTACGTGAATTTTACCTCAATAAGACAAATTATTTTAAATATCAAGTAATATTAAATATATATTCTTTAAAATTAAATAAATTGTTCTCTTTTGAAGCCTTTTGTTTCTCCCTAAATTTTTCATGATCTTTATTTCACTGTTCATAATTAATTTTTTAATGAAAATGTATATTAATGACCATTTTATTCATTTCTTTTTTATTGAGGTATAATTGACATAACATTAGTTTCAGATGTACAACAGACGGTTTGATATTTATATATATTGCAAAATCACCACAATAAGTTTAGTTAACATCTGTCATTATACATAGTTACTAAATTTTAAAGATTTGTGATAAGGACCTTTAAGATACTTGCATAGACACTTTCAAATATGTAATATAGTATTTTCAACTGTAGTTGCCATGCTGTACATTAGATATCCCCATGGCTTATCTATTTTGTAAGTGGAAGTTTTTACCTTTTGACTCCTTTCACCCATTTCAACAACCCCTCACCCCCTGTGTCTGACAACTACCAATCTATTCCCTGTATCTATGAGTTTGTTTTTTAGATTCCACATATAAGTGATATCATACATCTGTTTCTGTCTGTTTGACTTATTTTACTTAGCAAAATTTATTCAGTTCTTTTTAAGCTTTTATTTTAATTTGTTTATGAGAGTAATACCGAGATACAAGCATGGTCACCCAGCTCTAGTGAGGTTGGGGGAGGAATGAGGTGCAGAATGGGCAGAGCAGAGCCTGGGGGTACTTACCTGTGCCTGCGGCTGTATTAAAGGTCAGTGACTCATTGGGTGGGGCCTTGCTCAGCTCTTTCAACACAAATTCCATGTTGAGGAGCAGGTTAGCGGCCACATAGTTCTGTTCTGAGTGGGGCCCGGTCTCCAGGTCCTCAGGGGTTTCCAGCAGGTCATCTACCGCCTGTATGAGGTCCTGGGGGTATGGACACAGAGCCAGTGGGCCATGCACCAGAGGGACTACAGGAAGACTTTGCCCACTCAGCTCCAACAAACAGATTCTAGAGACTGTCAACTTGGGGATAAAGGTGGTACCAGATTGCCATGCAATCCAGCCATTCAGAGGTCAGTCCTGTTCATGAATGTCAAGGGTGATGTGAACTGAATGGGCAGGAACAGCAAGAAGAGAGGACTCAGAGCAGGGTGTCATTGTGTTGGGTCTGTCTCTTCCCAGACCAAGGCTTCCCCAGTCCTCTATGGGATGCCTCCCCCTGCCTCCCCCAGGTCCTGGCCTTACCTGGACGGTGTCCATAGACAAGGCAGACTTGAAGTCTCTGCCCAAATCATCAAATTTTTGTAAGAAGCGAGAGAACCTCTGGGGAGAAGGGAGATATGATGGTCAGAGAGCCTCGCAGGTAGATGGGGCAACTTGGGGGAAATAGGTGGGTGCTGCAGGCAGCACAGAGATATTTCCTGCCCCGTCATCCATGCTGGAGCCACTGACCTTGCTGTTGATTCTATGGGGTGCATTCCAGGTGGGGAAGGAGACCCCTGGTGCAGACAGAAAGGCAGTTCGTTAGGTGTGTGAGTGTGCATGTTGGGGGCAGGGCCTGAGGCCCAGGACAAGTACCTTCCCATATTGTCATTTGCTGTTCCATGGAACCTGACTTGGGAATAGAAGCATCTAGGAGGTCCCACTGTTTGCTTCCCCCACCTCCCATTAGTGTGCACCTTTTCTTATTCACATAGAGGCCTCATAGCATAGTAATGTGGTGGCCTAGATGCTCTGCTGTCCAGATGTGGATGGAATCAGCTTGAGTCCTACCTGTCTGCCACCCCCAGTCCCCTAACTTTCCTGGGAAGTTCCAGGCTGGGGTGGGGGACATCACAGCTGCCTGTGTCCCAGCCTGAGCATTTGGACAGAGGACAGAGTGGGCCTTCTTGGAAATCCAGGGCAGGGGGAATGGAGCATTTCCTGGCCAGGACCTGACTTGCCTCCCAGTGATAGCCTTAGTTCTAATTTTCCCAGGGCGGCTCCTCACTGACTGAGTTCTCCTTGGAATCTCATTGACGCTGTCAAAGCAGCGCTCTCCCCTTCCCACTAACACTAAGACATCTTGAAAGAGATGGACCAAGAACCACTTCTGAGACAGGCTCCCCAAGAATGAAGCTATAGGGCAGGGGCAGGGAGAAGGAAGAAGACATTGCATAGGACAGGGCCACCCAGACAGTGGCACTAAGTCCAGATTGGACATTGGCAGCTGATGCCCAGCCAGGCTTCCCTGGGTGCTTTTTTGACCCCCCAAAAGCCATTCCCTGGACTGGCAGGAAGTGGTAAGAATTTACATCTGAGGAAGGCCAGGAATGGTGAGGGCTGGTTGGCTGGAGAGGGAGGCCTGATGGGCGAGGGGTGGCAGACATTTCTGTCTTCTGGCCCTTTAGTCTCCCACCAGGGACACAGACCTGTGTACCTCCCTGGGTAATGGCTTCCTCCGTAGCCTGGTTCAGATGGGAGCCCCTCCCATTTATTCGGCTTTTCAAGTTTGTGTGGGTGTGGTGGCATCCATGTCCTCAGGTCATGAACTGAAATTATTGGAGAGAGTCAGAGGGGTCACTTGTGCAGGAAAATTGATGGAGGCTGAGTGGCCGAGAAGTGGGGTCAGTCAGGGTGCCAGGGAGAGGGCTGACCAGGGAAGGTGGAGCCACTCTTGAATCTCCCCACTCCCATGTTTCTGGACAGAGTCCCTGAATCCACCATTGCCTGGGAAGTCCCCGAGTGTGTACCTGGAATGTTTAAGCCCATGGGGGATCTGGTGGGAGGAGGCATCATCCTGGAAGTCACTGATGGTGGCGAAGAAGATGGGGGTTGCACTGGAACACAAACCTCTGTGAATGCCTGAAGGACCTTAAATGTTATCACTCTCCTTTTTTAAAAAAAAATTTAAAATAAGATCAGGTGTCCAAGAGGGGTGTGTTCCAAACATCCAGAAGTGACCCTCTGTGGAGGGTTCTCAGCCTTGGGGTTTGGAGAGGGTGGGTGACCAGGTAGGTGCCTAGGACAGCTTTTTTATGTTTTGTTTTCAGGCCTGAGAAAGTGGGCCAAATGACCTCAAATCTCATGGTCAAGAAGATGGAAGATGTGGGGTGGTTTCTACCTCGACATGTGTTCTCCCTTTCATTCTGGAACTTCTTTACTCCAGAAACAAGCTCATATCCTGGGTTGCACGTGCAGTAGTAGCTCCCCTCTGTGTTATGGCAGTCTGCGAATTTTCCACAGGACACTGTTGAGGGTGGTTCACATTCATTGATGTCTGGAACACAACAGGATAAAGGGTCACCTCCCAAAGGCGTGAGTTCCCACAGAGCAGAGACTGTGGCATCCAGGCTAACTCTGCCATGGAGAGTAGACAGAACTAGCTCCTGGGTGTCACTTCTGGGGCTGGGCTGGGCAGAGCCAGCTGCTCCAGACTCTGGTGACCTCTCTGGTCGTCTTTGCTGTCTGGCTGGTCTGAGGGCACCTAGATTCAGACACTCTGTTGTATCATGATGGGACTGGAAGGAGGTCTGCATCCCCTTCCCAGGCCCTGAGGAGTAGATGGTGGCACTGACTCAGGCTCCAATCCCTCCACTGTGGTGCTGCTTGCACCATAGGGGACCTGGTAGTGACCTCTAGTCAGGGTGAGGGTGGCAGTGAAGGCCATCTCTGTGCTGAGGTTGTGGAGGGAGACATGGCCAGGTGCTGTCCAGGGTGACATCATCATTCACACCTAAAGACAGAGTCAGGTGTCAGATCCCTGACCATTGATGGCTTCCACCTCCCATTGCTCACAGTGATCCAAATATACCCCACATTCCTCATCAGGCACTCCCCAGCTCACAATGTCAGGCCTTTTCCAGATGCCCCAGGATGTCTCCGGGTGAATCTTCCTATCTCCACCCCCTATCAGAGGTAGTAGGGGGTATAAAATGAAGAAGTGTCAGGAAGCTGCTCAAAGCTGAGTCACTAGGAGTGTTTTCTAGCATCTTATCTCTCCCTGTTCTCTAAACATGAGAAAGGCCAATGGCCCAGGTGCCCTTTGAATAGTAGCTCAGGGACCCACAGAACAGGAGCTGGGCACTGTTGGCTAAAAGCAATGGTTTAATAAGAACCATGTACACAAGAATGAATCAAAATCAAAATGAAGGAACAGAATATTTGGCCCTGTATGTACCAACCAGGGGACCAAAGACTGTAGAACCTGATAGGACTCTCAGCCAATCTCCCCAGATCAGAGTTTCATCTTCAAACTTGTGGGTTTCCCTTCTAAGGTCCCTGGCCTAGGCTGTGGGTGTCAGGACCAGGCCAGAGAAGAAGCATGAAGGATGCTTCTGCTCTCAGATGGTGGCAATGACTGAAGACCTGTCTTCCAGGTTAAGGGTATGGGGCTGTGTCACGTGAGGGACTGAGATCCAGGTACGGTCAGCAGGATCTCCATCCATATCCACCCAGTGTACAAGTCTTCATGACACACACACACGCAAATGCACAAAAGACCCTTCAGGAATACCTCCAGGCTAATGGATAGGCTGGGCATTACTCAAAATCTCTTTTCTTTTCCCCTGATAAAATTTACTTTTCACCCAATATTAAATAACACATGGATACTTAGGAAACAAAGAAAATGTAAAGAAAGGCAACAAAGGAAATCACCTATAAGTTCACTACGCAGACTACTGGAAAATTTTAGGGTTTTTCTCTCTCATTGTTTCTAACACATAGGAATGTTTTAAAATGATCAATAAATATGCATCTAAGATTATTTTAGTAGATAAAGAGAATATCTTCGTGTAAAAATCACGTAATTTCTTTTTTTGCCACTTGTTTACTGTGGTAAAATTCACATAACAAATTTACCATCTTACCATTTTAAGTAGCATATTTTCCTTTTCCAACCTTGTATTATTGAAGAATAAAAACTCTGGTTTTAGTTCTAATCTAGGTTCTACAACCTTATTAACTGTGTGACTTTGGATAATTTGCTCAGTCTCTTTTTTCAAATTATGATCTTTTAAAAAACAATACTACCATGAAACTATAAAACTCCTAGAATAAAACATTGGTCTTGGCAATGATTTTTTGGACTTGACACCAAAATCAAAGGCAACAAAAGCAAAAATAAATAAGTGGGTCTAAGTTGATCTAAAAAGCTTCTGTATAGCAAATGCAACCATCAACAAAATTAGAAGGCAACCTACAATTTTGGAGAAAATGTTTGGAAATCATGTATCTGATAAGTGGTGAACACCCAAATACTAAATAAAGAACTCATATAACTGAACAGGAAGAAAAAACAACACACTACACAGTCGAATTTAAAAATGGGTAGTGGATCTGATAGGCTAATCACATAAACCTGATTGCTCACTTCCCTCATATTACCCTGTCCTGTCTCCTCTCTCTAATCCTTGACACAATGCTTCTGTGCTTCTCTCAGTCATGAGAGCTCTGGATACCTCACAACCTCCCCCAACAATCTCTGTATGCCCCTCCA